TCAATCCTTCTCAATGAGGATATTGGCAGGGAGTCGCTTGCAGGCTAGAAGAGTTTTCAGAATTAATCTGTTCTTCTGATTCTGAGCTTCTGAATTTTCAATTCTTCATTTCATCCTAGATTTAATTCCTTAGTTAATAAACCATTGGTAATTGATAAGCTGAATCCACAAGATGCACTGTATGTTCTTCATTACCACTAGTACTTTCACTATTGAACTACTATTACTGCTACTCATCGTTACAGTTCTCCTGCTAGGGCCTAAATTAGTTATATAAACAATTTTGTAAATACAATGCCACGATGAATACTATGCTACTCATGATAATTAGGCTTACCAGCAACATTGAACCACGTGTAACAATTTTCTAGTAGAAGTTCTGTTTTGTCTCTTCGTTTTTGTTTATTTTGGACTTGTAGTTATTCAATATTGGTTTCATTTGTGTTTCAAAAGTATTACTAAGGCGAATGGTCATGGCATATTGCATATAAATCTGTAACATTTAGCATTGATCAAATTATTTTGTATAATCAATATTGCAAAATATCTTGACGCAAAGCAGTGTGCATAACTAAAGGAACTAATTTGAATTTATAAATTAATATGATAATTATATTGGTCAATATATAAGATAGACTATTATTATTATTCACCATTTAAATTAATAACTTAAAACTATAATTATTAACTTGAATGGTGAAAGAATATGACTGAATGAAAACTAGATGATAAAAATACATTGTTTTCTCTCACCTCAAAATTATCCTGATAAAAATGCATGGAATGAATTTGAAGAAATAAATATTTTAACAAAAAAGTGATTATTTTTGAATCTACTCTATTTACATTGTGTAGAAAATGTTAAAATAAAAAATATTGTAAATTCAAAAAATATATAATAAAACTCAAACCAACTTTTAAAATTTATGAGTTCTAAGCAATCATGAAGAACATACTTTTTATAAATGTATAAAATATATATGTATGCACACATACACACACATTATGTGCAAAATGTATCAAACCAAAGAAATACATGGAAAGTAAAGCATTAATTATAACAAATCGCATATAAAGGATTTGCATTTGTTAGTTACTTTTTATATGTAATATTTGGTAGAGGTTTTGAAATGAACATTTTCATTTTGATATAATGAGATAATTACTACCATAATATAGAGATTTAAAGTATATTTATGTTTAATTCAATTTGCTTAGATATTAAAAAGAACTTTTTATTGTAAATTTGAACTAATACACAAACATACCTTTATTAGCTTCCCGAAGGAGATCTTTATGTTTTCGCCAGTAAATTCGCCAGATTGGCTAATTTTATGTTTTGTCAATGTGTCAAGTCATTCTGAATAATTTGAGATCAAATTTGAAAAAAGTATGTGTGTTTGCATGTATGTTAGCCGAATTTTCGTAGATTTTTTCTCAGAAATGGCTTTCAACTATTTAAAAGCCATTCCATGTAACTCTACAAGTACTTGCGTTTATCATTTTTTCCTGACAAATTGTCCAAGTCGTTTCTTTATAATTAGCAGAAGTGCCAATTTTTTCATCCACATATAGTCCACGTTTTAGCCAAAAATCTTGAATCGATTTTGAAATTTAAAAACTGTTCAAAAGATATCATGTCCCTCAAGGTTGGGACGCGCGCTGATTAGTTTATAGTAAAGATAAGCCGGGCCGTTTCTTCGCAATCAATTATTGAAATTATTGTAACGTTTTTGATGAAACTTTTTATGTTTAGAGATATTAAAAAACATGCTAAAATATTGCGGTCCTAAGGCTAGTAGTTTTTTAATTTAACTAGGTGTAAGTACTTACTAAAAATAAGTTATACTTTATGTTAGAAATAAACAGTGGATTTTTTTTATCTAAATAGCTAAATCTCCCTTCTTATTGATTAAGTTGATTATTTACACATATCGGGAAGGGAATTTCATGCAACTTGCCTTGAGGCTAATGCCCCTTATACCTAGTTATATTATATTAATAACACAAACTTTCATTCCACTTGTTAAATAGTAGTATGTCTATTAAATGACCAGAAAAAAATTGTTAGTATCCTTATTCACATGCAAACATAATAAAACCCAAAGTGTTCAGGAAAGGTTTTATGGAGGGTTAACAATGAAATAACACAATGACAATGATAAATAAAATAAGCTACACAATAAATAACATTTAAAAAAATTAGTGTGATAAATACATGCTTTTTGTACTCAATAAAAATATTTACCCTTGATTTTTATTTGTGTTATAATTCCTTGAGTTAGTAAATACCAGTCTCATATCGTGAGCAAAATCATTTGGGGTTTCATAATTATCTCCAAGCAAATCTTCTTTTATCGACCGTAAATCCATTGGTGTATCGATGACTTGATAATAATCAGGATGTTCAATATTGTCAACAGGTTCTCGAAAAGGCGCGGCATCTTCAGATTTCCAAATTGCATCTAATAATTCACTGCAACTGACTTTCCAATCATCTGATGTCACAGACCTCAAATTTCTTCTAGAAACTGAAAGATACATCTATTCAATATTGGAAAGACCATTTTAATTTTGTAATGTTATATGAACAAATTTTATATACTAAAATTGAATCATTTACAGTAATTTTCAAATTAACCCGAGATTCACATAATCACGCTCATAACACATTCATGCACATGGGAAAATTTCAAGTGTCAGGGACTTGTTACCTTTTCTACTATCCTCAAATACTACTTCTTGATCATTATCATTTTCTGTTTCGCTCTCTGAACTACTTTGATAAGTATCCATTAATTGATGATATACTGCAGATACATCTATTGAGTCTTCTTCTCTGAAGTTGTATTTATAATTTTAGTTATGTTTTAATAAAAAGTTTACTTTAAATAACAACACTTGATGTTTATTGAGAGTTATAACAAACTTTTAGATTAAAAGATAGTATTCTGCATGTGTGAAACTTTTACCTTATGATTCGCAAACAGAGATCAGTAACTATTCGTGCCTGTTTAACTATTGTGCTATGTATTTTATTAAATTTTTCTGCATTAGTTGCCAAATATCGAACATCAAACTGAACTGAAGTAATTCTTCTGTAAAATCTATTTTCTAATCGAGCTTTGATACTTGCTAAATCTATTGGATACTCGACAATATAAGCATATGATGGATATATGCTCAAATCAACTGGAGCAATAAAAGGTTCAGCAATTGATAACTGCATAACCTATATAAAAAAACTAGTTATTACAAAAATATTGAACTTGCTGTTTTTCTTAATTCACCTGATCTAAGCCTTGAATTATTCTTCTACACGTTGCATCACAATCTCCTCGAGGCCATTCTTCTGGTGCAGGTTGATAAAGAATCATTCTTAATTCTTCAGGAAGAACTGGTACACAGCACCTCCCACTTCCACCGGTAACCCTGTAATGATAACATTTAATTTAAGTTTGAAGTAATTTAATAATAATGACAATCCAATATGAGTAATTGTTTTCAAATATTTGCAATTTATATTTGTATAATCACATATCACACAAAACATAGTTAAATATAGAAATTCATCAGACGTATAGATAATTATTGTATAGTAATATGTGCTTATCTATAGCTACATTTTCGTTCTAAATTTGACTTAATCTGTTGCACTTTTTTGTTATTTTTTATATGAAATAT